GTTTTCCTGTGTGCGGTGATCGCTTCCTCCCTGCCTTTGCCCTCTTCCTTGGTGAGCTGTGAGAGGAGGTGCAGGGTGCTCTGCCAAAGCAAAAGCCACCTTGTTTTTAGAATGGTCGTAAAAGCTGGGGCGCCTGGCTGGCTCAGCATGCAGCTCCTGATCTCAGGGTTGTGGGTTTGAGCCCCAGGCTGGGTGTAGAGGTTACTTGAAAAAAAAAAATAACATCTTAAAAAAGAAATAAATTAATAAAAATAAATGTTGATTTGGAGGAAGGAAGCCCCCACAACCCTACTCATGGTAAGTACGGTGGTTTGGGGCTAGTCCCCCGGCGTCGGCTCCCAGGCTGCTCTGCAGGGCCCCGCTTCATCCAGCCTTCTGGCCTTTGTCCACCGCAGTGACCGGTTAGCGCTGCTCCAGGTCCGGGCCATCCTCCAGCAGCTGGGCCTGAACAGCACCTGTGACGACAGTATCCTGGTCAAGACCGTGTGCGGGGTGGTGTCCAAGAGGGCTGCACAGCTGTGTGGTGCGGGCATGGCTGCCGTGGTGGATAAGATCCGCGAGAACAGAGGGCTGGACCATCTCAATGTGACTGTGGGCGTGGATGGAACACTCTACAAGCTTCATCCGCAGTGAGTGGGGCTTCCGCTTGGGTGGGCAGGGCGTCCTGGGCTGCCGAGGTCCCCTTGATGGGTTATGGGACAGCAGGATGTGAGTCGCACCAGGACAATTCCTCACCAGGACCCAACTGACCCGAAGGCTGTGCGTTTAGGGACTGGGCCTTCTCTGGAACCAGGTGATGAGCTGCTTTGAAGTTTAACTGAGATCCTCGGAGAGGAGTGGCTTCACTTGGTTCAGCTCACACCAGTGGCGCAGATGTCCCTCTCCCCACTCCTCCTGGGGCCCCCTTAGGTCAGGCAGAGTTCGAGGGAAGGGTGAATGTGGCCTTACCCATCCGCCTGGGTAGCTGCAGCCCGGCCAGGAGGCTGTGTCTGGTAAGTGGGGACAGGGAGTGAAGGACGGAGGGAGGAGGCCACCTTGTCTTGTTCACCTGCTAAATCAGTTTCTCAAGAGGCTTGCAAGGCAGGAAGGGGGATGGGGAGTGGGCTCCTTATGGTCAAGGGTCTGACACTCTGTGCTGAAGGAGGATATTTGGCCCCACCTGCCCTTTGATCGACCACATATCCCAAAGCTTAGCCCCTTATGAATAGAGTGACCCTGTTATTTATTGTTTAAACTGGGGCGCTTTTGCCAGTGAAGAGACTGCACTAATAATTACACTGGGACCATCCCTGGTAAACTGGGCCATAATGTCACTCTCCTTAAAAGCAGCTTCACCCACATCAATGTAGGCATTTGCTGCTTACCTCACGGCCGTGGCTGGGGAGGGAGCCAACTGCCCTGCTCCATCTGCACCTGTCTCCCCACCTCCGTAGCCGTCCTCTTCGTCACCGGGGGCAGTACACTGCCGTGGCTCAGAGCTAGGTTTTGGAGCCACACACGCTTGGCTCTAACGCCCCACCACCATTTGGAAGCTATGCTCAGGCGCTCAACTGCCGAGCGCCCTCGTCCTCACGGGCTGACGGCCACGGGCAGGCCCGGAAGGTAGCGGAGAAGGCGTGGGGCAGGCCCTAGCAGGGGTGCCACAGCGGGTAGGCCGTGTCACCTCCATTGCCCTGAGCTGCTTCAACCTGGCCCTGTGTCACCGTCAGCACACAGTGTGTGAACCTAGAGTCACCTGTCACTGAGGTTCTCTCTCACCGGGGGCCTACCGCTCTGGGCCTCGGAGGCCAGGTGTTGGGCTGTGGCTGGTGATGGGCTGGGGATCTCAGGGGGCCAGGCCCTGGCACCCTTCCCGGTATCCGGTCCCCCAGACGCCTCGGGCTTGGGGGATGAGTGTGTCTGTGTGTCATTCCTGCCCTGGTCCCGATAAGCCGTCCAGTCACATCTGTTTGGATTCTCAGCTGTTTCTCCCTGCCGAAAACTGGGGTCGTAGAATCGGCGGCAGATCCGGTGTCCCCCCCAACCCTTCCCAAGAAGCCCCTCCCGTCTCGCTTGTCCCCTGTCGTTAGGGTCCTGAGGCGTCCTCGCGCGGGCCCAGCGTCTCTTCTCATCTTGTCCGCTTACCCTCCTCCTCCGTGTGTTGTTCTTTCTCAGCTTCTCCAGAATCATGTACCAAACCGTGAAGGAACTGTCCCCCAAATGTAACGTGTCCTTCCTCCTGTCCGAAGACGGTAGCGGCAAGGGGGCTGCTCTCATCACGGCAGTGGGCGTCCGGCTCCGGGAAGAGACGAGCAGCTAAGGGTGCCGGCCCCCCGGCCTGCTGCCCCTCTGGCACGTCTCTCTTCGGGCGGCCACCCCCGCGCCTCCCAGCGAGCTGGGCCGGGAGCCGCCGGCGCCAGGGCCCACCTCCGCCGCAGCGGGGAGGGGCCGCAAGCCAACTACTGGCGCCTAACGTAGGGTACAAAATAGAGCGTGTGCTGTTGATAATCTCTCCCCACTCCGGCCCCTCCTCGCCTGCCCTGCCACTCTGCATGATCCGATTTCAACCTGGTCGTCCGCTCCCCACGTGTGAAGTGTAGTGGCGCCCATTTCCAGTTTCTGCATTCGTCCGACAGAGTTATTTATTGGCCCAAGATGAAAAGTCACGCCATCTGACAGGCCTTAGGGGCCTCCGCAGCCCGTCCTTGGGGACCCACCCCCGTGTGAAATGTATTATCACCAGCAGACACTGCCGGGACTCCTCCTCCCAGGGGCATCTTAGCGGCTTCCTCCCGTCCCAGCCCCCGCTGCTGTCTGGCGTCCCGAGGTTCCCATCGAGACGTGTCCGTGCCACTGAATCGTGTGTCCGTGGAACTGGTCAGAGCCACGTTGTGACAGTCTTGCCTTCTGTCTGTCTTGGGGGTGGGGGGATGTGGGCAGTTCTGCGGGAAAATGTCTTGTCTCCGTTTGGATAAAAGGAACGAAACCAACAAACAGTGCCCTCGTTGGAATTCCCCATTGCTTTTGTGAGCCACGTTGTATGACCTAGTAAACTTTGTACCAATTCAAAGACCCCGAGTGATGCTTGCTGGCCGGAGAAGGTGGGAGGCCATGCCCTGGGGATCCTGGGTGGGGGGGGTGGGGTGGGGAGAGTGCTTCAGCCCCCGGCCTTCGTTTAGTAGCATAACTTCTCTGTTCTCTGCAGAGTGTCACCGAGCTAGCCTCTGTCCTTATTTTCCAGCACCTGCACGGCCAGTTCCCTGCCGCAGCCCCAGGGTCTCAACCCCGCAGCACCGTTAGGAAGGTAAAGCGGTAGAAGGCCTCTGGGCTCCCAGGGATTGTTTGGGTTTAATGAGAGGACAGTGCACATTGGCTGTCCCCACCGCTGTCCCCAAGTAGACCCCGCCCTTCATCACCGTCTGCCAACTCCCAAGGGAACAGAGGGTGTAGACCCTGCTCTAACACGGATGACATCTTGCTGCAGCCCCGGGAGCAGGTTGCCTGCACGGTCCTCCTCCCCCCTTTTAAACGAATCCCTTCTGTAGGAAACCGCTCCTCACCTGACCCTTTTATCCCTGCCCCACCTCAGCCTTGAGGCTGCTGATTCATCCCATGGCCCGCCAGTGGGTCCCACATCAGCCCGCCTCTCGTGCCCTGTGCGGGTTAAGGCCGGAGCCCCTTTATTGGGCACCGTGACCTCTGGGGGGAATCGCACCTAGCATCAAACTGTCTTGCTGTGCATTTTTTAAAAAAATTTTTTATTTAAAGATTTTATTTATTTGACAGACACAGCGAGAGAGGGAACATAAGCAGGGGGAGTAGGAGAGGGAGAAGCAGGCTCCCCGCCAAGCGGAGAGCCCGATGCGGGGCTCGATGCGGGGCTCGATCCCAGGAGCCTGGGATCATGACCTGAGCCGAAGGCAGACGCCCAACGACTGAGCCACCCAGGCGCTCCTCTTGCTGTGCATTTACAGTGTCACGTGGTTCTTCTGGAGGGGCAAATGGGGCGTGCAGGGTGAGGCGGCAGGCAGGCAGAAGGGTGTCCTTGCAGTGCACCGGGTCAGGCCTAGAGCTCTCCGGGAGTCGAGATGCTTGGCGTTCCCTGCCCTCCACCTGCCCGCTGCCGGAGTGAGCGTGACCACCGCTGCTCGCGTCCTGGAGGCATCCACGTGACACAGCTGGCTTGGCGGGGGTAAGAATCACGCCTGCTGGTTGTTCAGCACTTGACGCTAGTTTAGAGGCCTCACTTCAGTCTTCCTCCCAGCATCCCTGTGAGGCAGTTTTGTCACTGGGAGAAGAAGAGGCGGAGGGTCAGAGGGACTTGTCTGAGGCAACACAGCCGCGGCTCCTTTTGACTCTTACCCACGGTGTGCACTGAGCTGGGTCTGAGTTAGATGCCGAAGCAGAGAAGCCCCGGGTCGACTCACAGGTGATGGGCTTGGCAAAGTAAGAAGCTCCCTCCCTGGGTCTTTAGCCTGATAATAAATCAGTACCATGGTTGGGTGCTGTCCCCAGATGTGTTCTGTTTGGTCTAACCAATATTTATAAAAAGGTGAGCCAAATGGAACAAGTCTGGAAGTCTCACAAATTTGGATTTCTGGCGTGTCTTGAAAGATCCGGAAGATCTGGCAATGGTGGGCACCCATTACCTCATGACAACATTTGTCCAGAGCTGGTCAGCTGCTGTCCCCTTTGGATGCGTACGCCCTCCACTTCCCCCCGTTCCCTGTTACCCCAACGCTGGAAGTCACTGATCAGGTTGTATGCCCCAGGAAGGCATCCCTGCTTGTGACTCCTGGATGAGATAAGTGTTAGCTCACACTGTCTTCTTGGACTCTTGTTGCTGTGAAGCCCTGTTCAGAGGGGTGGCTGGGCCCTCTTATTAGAGTTAGCATCCACTTGCAGAGCTCCTGGCCCCATCTTGTTTTTCCACTGATGCACTGAAGCCTGGGGCATGGGTCAAACTTTTAGATCTGGACCTCTCAACTGGCTACTTCTCCAAGGGTGCCAGGCACAAGGCTTCAGGGTTCAGTAGGTACCCCATCTTGGGGAACCTGGCCTGCCCATTGGTAGCCTGAGAGGGGGCAGTATCCCCAGCCATGAAAGAAATCTCTTTAGTGTGACACATGTTGACCCTCCTAGAAAGGGATGGAGAGTGAGTCAGCTGAATCTTATCTTCCTCAGTCGGTGTGACCCACGGGCAGCAACGGAAAGCAAGCCGGAATCCAGAGCGAAACCTAGGAGGTGGAGGGTCACCTTGAGCAGAGGGGTAAGGGGGACAGTCCGGGAACTGTCCCCACCTCCAGGAGCCAATCTCCCCTCCAAAGGAAAGTGGTCCTTTTACCCCTGTCTATCATTGTTCACTGTTCCTGAGTGGATTTGAGTTTTGGAAACGCCCAGAAGGAATCTGGAGCTAAATCTAGTGATTGAAGTGGGTGATTAAGTCTAATTAGACCATTTGTTATTACAGACAAACCAAATACAACTAAAGAAATAACAGATTCTCTTGTTTGGCTTGTTAACTGGCTTCTAAAGGAATATTCTAGAGGAGTCTTAAGAAGTGTGGGCTTTGGCAGTATTGGGCAGAGTAAGGATGCTCTCCCAAGGGGGGCTGCTCTGAAAGAAGTCATGCACAGAGAACTACTACATTTTGGTATATTTGCTTAAAAAGTAGCTCTCCCCATGGCCGGACTAAAGGTAAATTGGAAGGGGAAGCAGACGGCAGTGGAGGAAATGGGCTGCGAGAAAGAGAACACTGGTCTGTCCAAGAGGAGCAGAGATCAAGGGGACCCTGGGGGACAGCCGCTTGTCTGTTCCCAGGAGACACAGGGTGCCATGTTCCAGAAGAGCAGGCCTGACTTTGGTTCCTCACCTTGCAGCTCTACAATATTCCATGGTGTGGCCCAACAAACGCCTCTCCTGTGGGAGCTTCACGGCCTCTGCCCCTTCCGCTCACACTCAGCATGCCCCTCCGCCCCCCTCCCGCCCCCCAGCGTCCCCATCTCAGTTCCTGACAACTGGCAACTCCGTCCTTCCAGCTGCTCAGGCCTGGAACCTGCGAGTCAGCCTTGACTTCTCACACATGCCACCTCCCCTCCGTCAGGTTCTGTTGGCTCTACCTTAGTAATAGCCCGACTCTGACCACATCTCTCCCCCGTCTGAACCCTCTCCCCACCTCTCACCATCATCCCTGCAACAGCCTCCCCACCCCCCTGCTTCTCTGCTTGCCCCGCCGCTGTGGTCCAGTGCCGACACACGGCCAGATGGATTCTTTTAAAAGGGAAGTCAGTGTACATGTCTCCCAACTCAGAGCTCCACTGGACTCCTCATGGCAAGAGTCCCGGCCCAAGGCCTTACCTTGACCGCAGGGCCCATTCAATCATCTTTGCTCAAAAGAATCCTCAATAAGGCCAACCCTGGCCATGCTATAAAATTGCTCCCCCTGTGTCCACTCCTCCCCCTGGCACTTCCGCTCCTCCCATCCCCAGCTCTGGTTTTCCTTTTTTCTGCGGAGCTTACCACCTAATACGCTATGTGATTCATCCACTCCTTACACTTGCTTATTGTCTATCTCGCCACTAGAATGGCAGCTCCCCAAGGAAAGAAACCATTGCTTTTGTTCACTGGGGTATCCCAGGGGCTTGGAACAGTGCCCGGTACACGGAGTCACTTGTGAACAGGTTCTGAATGAATGAAGCCTCTTGCCAGGAGCATCAGTCCTGCTTTAGAGCTAGAGTCACCAACTACTGAAGATTCTGGAGTTATTTCAGAAATGAGTAGAGCCTGGGGACTTGCTCAGACTCTCAGGGACTGTGTCATTGGGTAATGGGAGAGTGACCAATGCACACACATGGAGTGCTGGGGGCCCCTCCCTGATTATGACAGTTCCTGAGTCCCAAGTTCTAGAAGCTGCATCAAGAGAAAGGTGTGATGTGGGGTCAAGTTTACAGGCCTTGGAGATCTATGGTATTCTGGCTCCACTGCTTGCTGTATGAGTTCAGGAGTCTTCCTTTCTGGGGCTCAGTTTCCTCATCTGTAAAATGGGGATAACACCTCCCTTCCTCCTATCATCTACTTCTTACATCTCAGGAGACAATGGACGATTCTGGCACCCATTAAACACTCGAAAAAAAAAATATCACAGTTCTCTCACTTCCTCCTGGCCTGCCCTAGGTGGCTGGGGTATCTGGGCAACAAGGACCCTAATGGCATCATGAGTGGCCTGGACACGTGGGCAGGTGGGTGATAAAAGGCATGGACATGGAGGCCCACGGCCAACCTTACCCACATGGCTGTCTTGTAGAGACCAGGACTCAGTGTTCACCTCTCATCTTCTCTTACCTGACCCCCCCTTCAAGGTTTTCTGAGGCCTTCCACCTCTCTAGGTGCCCCAGAGCAAATGCCAGCACCTCCTGGGGACTCCGATTTGCCAGAAGTATGGGGCTCGGGCAGCCAGGTGTGTCTGAGGGAGGAGTGAGAACTCGGTTCCTTCCTCCCTGGCTGTTTCTGCCAAGGTCACTCCTCAGCGGCCCTAGAAATCCCCCCTGGCGGCAGGAAATGCCCTCTGATCTCCCCAGGGAGCAGCCGGCTCCCTCTCCAGTCTTCGCCCTGGGCCCCCCAGCTGAGTGCTTCATACTGCTGAGGTTGGAGTGGTACACCTGGCTCAAGGAAACGTCTCATTACGGGAAGCTCTTAAAAATGTCGGGACAGAGGAAGTCCCGCCCTCCTTTACCGGCTCCTTCCTTTCTCCCTCTCTGTCCGCCTTGTGGCCTCTCTCTGACTCTCCTCCTCCCTCCACCTCTCTGTCCCTCCCTTCTCTCTTCTCCTGGTCCCAGATGTAGCCCCTGAAGAGAGAGCAGGAGCAGGTGGACAGGGAGAACTGTGGCCTGGGCAACAGGACAAGGTTTTGGGCAGGAGGAGGGGCTCAAGCCAGGCCATGCCTGGAGGCCTGGCTTGAGGACTGTGCTGTGGGCTCAGTGTGAGGACAGCAACCCCCTGCGGGGGTGGGAGGCACGGGCTCATGCTGTGCAGGGGAGTCCAGCTGGGGCCAGGCCAAGGGTTCCTGAGGGCTGAGGAGGGGGGGGGGCTGGGATGAGGGCTCACCTGTGGTTGAGGCAGCAGTAGATGATGGGATTGTACATGGTGGAGCTCATGGCCAGCCAGAAGAGCGCCAGGTACACCTGCTGGATGAACTTGTGGTAGTAGATGTCCTCCTGGAAGCTGCCCAGGATGAAGTAGAAGTGGTAGGGCAGCCAGCAGATGGCAAACGTCACCACCACCAGCACCATGGTCTTCACGAACTGGGCCAGGAGAGGCTCAGGTCACACCTCAGCCTGGAAGCACCACACCCCAATCCTCCAAGGGTGGTGGCAGGGCACCCCTCATGGCAGCCTGGGAAGCCCTCAGTCCCTTGGAGCATAAGCAGCCTTGACTGCTGGGCCCTGCACCTCTGCCCACACTGCTGTTCTTTCTTTCGAGTCCTCACTCCTTGAAGCCCAGCTCGGAGGCCACCTCATCTAGCAGGTGTCCCGGACCCCTTCCCTCAGAGCGGCTCCCCTCCCTGGAGAGCGGGTGAGCTCCTAACCCCATCCTTGCGGGATCCCCTATGTTAACTATGGGTTCTCAAGTGCCCCTCTCCCTGGGATCTGTGTCTGCCATAGCCCTTCTATCCACAGGTAGTGAGACTCTAGTCGGGCATCCAGCCTCTGCCCAGGAGCCAGCTCCCTGACCTTCCCCCCCTCAAGCCTGGTGTCTGTAGGCCCTCCTAAACTGGCCCAGTACCCCACGAGGAATGGAGGGCAAGCCAGCGATGGCAAGTGGAGACCAGCTCTTCACGAGGAGGGACACTCAGACAGTGTCCCATATCTGACTACCTCCCTGAATTCTCCTATGAAAAATGCCGACTAGTAGACCTGAAGCCAAGACAGTGACCTGATACATGATGGGATTAACCATTACCTTCCCTGGACGCCTAACAGGAAGGGGCACGGCAAAGATAAGCTTTGACTAAGAGACAGTGGAGGAGGTCTGAATCATAGAATGCTGCATCAGGACCCTTGGGGGTCCTGAGTGGCGGGGAGGAGGGGTGGACACTGGCACTTGGGTTGGAAATTGAAGGCAGACTGGGTGCTGCTGGACTCCAATCCAGTCTCCATGATCTCGGATTGGAGGTCTGCAGTTCCAGCATTTGAGAATTCTCTTGTGATTCTATACAGGAGCCTCCCGGAGTTCTGTGGGGCTTCTTAAATTCAACACTCCGATTACTCAGAAAGTCTAAGATTTTGAGAGTCAGTCATTCTAAGATTCTTGGGGGTATCTGAAACTCTGTGGGGTTTTAGGATTCTCTGATTCTCAAAACATTTTGGGGGAGTTCCTTTAACTTCGCATTTGGCCAAGGGCCAAAGGCAACTCTGTCCTCCGAGGAAGAATGAACTCGGACTCTGGTCAGGGACTTGGAACAAGGGCAAGTTAGGGTGGGTCCTGTCCTCAACGGCGCGCCGTAGGGGCGGGCTTCGAGCCCGGAAGGGCGGGGCCCCAGGCCGCCCCCGCCCCCTCCGGGCCCCGCCCCCGGCGCCCACCTTCCTCTTGGCCTGCAGGTGGCGCAGGCTAGCGCCGTGCACCTGGTGCCCGGGAACCTCGCGTCTCCAGAGCGTGAGGCCGATGACGCTATAGGCGAGGAGCATCACCACGAGAGGCAGCACGTAGATGAGGGCGATCACCACGAGGTGGTACCTGGAGGGAAAGCCAAGGGCCTGGGCACGGGACGGCCCGGGAGCGACTTCGGCATCCGCCAGCCCTCAGTCCCCCTGGCCCCGCGCGCGCCCCTGAGCCAACTCCGGCCGGCCACCCCAGGCCACCTCCCAAGGCCTTGATTTAACTTAAAGAAAAAAAAAAAAAAAGAAAGGACAACACTGGCTAGCATATATGCCCAAAGAGGGCTTCCCCTGTTGCAAAAGGGACACGCGCTTTCTCTCTGCGATCCTCCAGGTGATAGACAAACGCTACCAAAAAAGGAAATAAATAGGAATGAAAAAGTTAACCAAATAACACATTTGTTTAACATTTAAAATGCCATTAAACACAAAGGAGGAAGTGAAGTTACCAATTCCATTCTCACCAATATTAACAATCGGGATATTTCCTTCCTCAGTCATATGTGTGTGTATCTCTGTACATATACATTAGACAGATTATATATATGTATAGTCTATAGCTGCATCTGTCTGTCTGGAGAGGTAGATTTTCAGGAGCTGATCCGGTTCCATCCTGCCCCGACATCCCTATCAGGGAACAGGCCAGTGGCAACAGTACCAACTGTACAAGATATTGATCATCTCTTCCTGCCCAGCAGCATTTGGTTGGGAACACGGCTCACATCAGCAGCCTTTCTCTCACACCACCTTTGAGCAAGCGGCCCAGAACACACTGATGGTTACTCATCCAATCCCTGTGGAGGACACCCTGGGCTGTGTGGAGCAGTTTCTTTTCCTTTTGGAAAGATGATGTAAAGGAGATGTGTGCTGTAATTCTAGTTTCTGAGTGATGCTGCAGCTCTTCTCCGACAGGGCCCAGGTGGGGGCACCTCGGGAATGGGCCCGAGACCCGTGGTCCTGGCACATGACCTTTTTCTAGGAGGGCTGAAGTGTTCCCAAGGCCCCCACCCTCATGACCTGTGGGCCAGCCTTGCTGGGCTCCTTTTCCAGAGGTGCTGCCACCCAGAGGCGGGGGAGCAGGTGGCTCCAGCAAATGTCTTCCCTAAAGCCTGTGTTTAGAATTCTGCTTGCTCGCTCTTTGAGCAAGTATGCTACTCCAAAAAGGTTTGGGGGGACAGGTGCTCCTAGACCCTGGGATCCTTATCCTAGACCCCTGTGTGGTACAGGTAAGGGCAGGGGGGAACAGCGAATGCCAGACCCCTCTCACTTTACCTTCATTGTAAGGTCACAGAGTGTCTGAGCTAGATAGACCTTGAGTGTCAGCAGGGCTACCTGCCTCAGTGTCTGGAGGGGGAAACTGAGGTTCAGGGAGGTGCAGAAATTCTGTGACATATGAAATAGCTCTAGAGATTTAATCAACACTCAGACGATTTCCCTACTACTGAAGGCCAGCTCTGTGAAGTCAGAACTGAGTTTTTGTTCGGGCTCTCACTTCAAAGTGTGACCTCGGGCAAGTCTGACCTCTCCCCCGGTCTCAGTTTCCCCTTTTGTAAAACGAGGAGGTAATCCCTAAGATCCTTCCCAAGTATGAGTGACATCTCGATTTTGCCTCATTCTTTCCTTGGGACATGGTTCAGGATAGGAGTTCACTCTGGGCTAGGTTCCTACGCCGAAGGGAGCTCCAAGGAGCCCTGGGGATCATCTGGGGTCCACCAAAAACCAGGACTGCCTCCTCTCAGAGCCTGGGCTTTTTAAAAAGTATTTTGATTTTGGAAGGTCTATGTGTATTTTCCTGGACGCGGCATCTGTAATTTCATCGGATGCCTACACACCCAGGATGGGAGCCTGTGAGTATGCAGCCCCCAATTTAAATCTCAGTTCCTCCACCAAGAACAAAGAACACATTTGCACACACAAACCGGGCTTTCCCCAAATCTTCTCAGAATTCTAGGTAACACCAAAGCATCGCCTTCCTAGCTCACGTCTTGCCCTCCTGTTTTCCCTTGGTGCCTGAATCAGGGTTGGAACTCACCATCCCCACAGAGCCGGTGCGGGGTCCCCAGAGTAATTACTGGTCCCCCTCTCAGGGAGAAAGGCCTGTAGTAAGGTGGAGAAACACTGCCCCCCAGTGGTCAGTCACAAAATAGTCGGCTCTCCACCCCTCCCCGAGCCTTCCCTACATGGACACTGGCTTTGGAGCAGCGAGACCTTCGGAGCAGGGTGCGGTGCAGAGGGAGGGCAGAGACCGTAGGCAGGGCCCGTCCTCAAAACTCATCAGTCTCCGGGACCGGGCTTCTCAGGCTTCTTCCCTAGCACTGAAGGCCACAGCGAGGCCCCCTTCTGGCTGGTGCTAGGGGCAGATGGAGCCGGTGTGGGGGTGGACGTTGGGGGAGAGGTGTTTAAGGAGGCGGGGCCGGGGGCGGGG